TCATCCATCCATCTATCCACCCATCCATCCCCCATCTACCCACCCACCCATGCATTCACCCACCATCCATCTGTCCACCCATCTATCCATCCATTCATCCACCCATCCATCCCCCATCTACTCACCCACCCATCCATTCACCCACCGTCCATCTGTCCACCCATCCATCCATCCATTCATCCACCCATCCATTCACTCACCCTTTATCTATCCACCCATCCACCCATCCATTCACTCACCGTTTATCTATCCACCCATCCTTCCACCTACCCTTCCTTCCACTCATCCATCCATCTATCCACCCACCCCTCCATCTACTCATCCATCCATCTATCCACCCATCCATCCCCCATCTACCCACCCACCCATCCATTCACCCACCGTCCATCTGTCCACCCATCCATCCATCCATCCATTCACCCATCCATCCACTCACCCATCCATCCATCCATTCACCCATCCGTCCACTCATCCATCCATCCATCCACCCATCCATTCACCCACCCACCCACTCATCCATCCACCATCCATCCATTTCCTCTCAGTTGGCTGCCCTCCTTGCCTTCTACCTCCCCCTTTCCTCTGTCCTCCCTCCCTCTCCTCTACCTCCCTCCCCCCCCCCAACGGTCCCCCCTTCCTCTCTCCTGTCTCCCCCCTCCCTTCTCTTCTTCTGTCCCACCCATTTTTGCTAACTTTCTCCCACCGATCTTATTTATTTAGCATTTACTATGTGCCAGGTTCTCTTTGTTTGCTTGGTCCTCATTTTCCACATTTGACAAAGGGTTGCCGAGGGCCTGGTAGCTCTCTTCCGTTGGCCAGAGCCAGGAGAACATGGCAGCCTTGGGAAGCGAGATCTGGTTCAGCCCCCTGCCCCCCCTCCATGTGCTCAGACCGACCTGGACCTGGACGAGGAGAGGGCGATGCCAGAGGCCCCGGCAAGACCCTGACTCCAAGCAGGTGTCCTCCACGCTGGGCAACCATGCCGGGTGACCACAGAGCTCCCTGGCCAGCCAGGGTGTGGAGTTGCTGGGGGCCGGGCTGGACATCTCGGGTTACTTGGAACTGCGCTGTCAGCTGTGGGCTGGTGACTGACTCAGGGCTCCTCTCCCCGCCTCTCCCTCACCATGTCATCTGTTCTGGTTTAGAAGCTCACTCCTGCCCACCGCCCCCCCTCCCCACAGGCAGTGCACCCCAGGCTGGGGTGCAGAGTGGCGGCCTAGCCCCCACTTCTGTCTGAAGGCTGCGGATTGAGGACCAGCCAACCACTGCCCCAGGGCTGAATCCAGCCGACAGTCCCTTCTGTGGATAAAGTTTTCTTGGCACACAGCCAGGAGCGTGTGTTTTGCTGTCCCGTAGACAGCGGAGTTGGTGAGGCTCAGCGCAGAGACCATGGTGGCTCACCAGGCCCGGGGCTCACTCACCGCACCCCCCCCTTTACTAGAGGAGAGCTGCCTGGGCCTGGCCACCACTCACAAAGGCTGCTTTGTTCTTTACTCAGGGTGTGTAAATAGGTGATTGTGTGTGTGTGTGTATGTGTCTTGATCCTGGGGCTTGAACTCAGGGCCTGCACACTGTCCTTGGGCTTTGTGCTCAAGGCTGGTGCTCTACCATTTGAGTCACTGATCCACTTCTGGCTATTTGATGGTTCATTGGAGATCAGAGTCTCATGGACCTTCCTGCTCTGGTTGGCACTGACTGTGGTCCTCAGATCTCAGCCTCCTGAGTAGCTAGGATTACAGGTGTGAGCTACACCAGGCACAATGTGTGTGTGTGCACATGCACGCTCATGCACACAACCTAATGGGTGGCACTTGGAAGAATAATTGAGTTATTTATTTTTTTGGGGGGGGGTTCCGGTCGTGGGCCCTGTCCCTCAGCTCTTCAGCTCAAGGCTAGCGCTCTACCACTTGAGCCACAGCGCCACTCCGGCTTTTTTTTTGTTTTTGCTTATGTGGTGCTGAGGAATCGAACCCAGGGCCTCAGGCATGCAAGGCAAGTGCTCTACCACTGAGCCACCTTCCCAGCCCCGAGTTATTTAATTTTAATGTTACCATTAGATTCTATCAGGGCCTCAAACCACAGGTGTGGATCTTGAATAAAATCAGTAATAAAAAGCCAGCCCTGTGTGCTGTTGGCTATGGAACCTTCTAGAATCAATGTTAGTCTCTGCTCCTCCTCCCACGCATGATTGTTTGTACACAGCTGGCGTCAGGACCCGCAGTGGAGGCGTATTTTCTTCTTCCTGCCTCTGAGTGTGTGTGTGAGTGTGTGTGAGCGTGAGTCTTTTTTGTGGCGTCTGTGTTCTGGGGGAAGTGGCTTTCCCCGGCCGGCCGCTCCCTGTGCAGCTGGGAATTCCAGTCGCCATCTTGCCCACACCTAAGCTCGCTCTCCTTGTGTGCCGGTCTTACCAATCCCTCCCAGAGCCTCCGTATTCACCGTGTCAGATGCTTCTCTCGAGAGAAGTTTCTGGAACATTTGCTGATTCAACTGAATGTGCCTGTTTTGAGTTTGGGGACCTGGGGTGTGGCTTGTTTGAACGTGACCCTTAAAGACGTGTCACCCCCCGTCTCCAGGCTGGGCTGAACAGACTGGTCTCCCCTGGACCTGGGCTGGGGCCAAGTCCAGAACCTTCTACGGGCCGCCGGCTCTGGTGATGAGTGAATCCAAGCAGGCGGGTTTTGCTTAGGCTGCAAGCTCCTGGGTTTGTGAAGCCTTCCCGGGCCCGTGCAGCCTCGTGGCCGAGGGGCACAGTCTGGGGCGGGGTCTGGCAGATACTGGGGGGCCCCAGCCCTGCCTGTCACTCACCCCCAGAACCGGGAGCCACACCCCGCTCTTCTGGCTCCTGGGCCTCTGTGTCCCATGTGGCAAAGCCATGAATGGATGCTGAGGGTCTCCGTGCCTGAATTCCCATGGAAAATTCCAGAAAGAGACTTGTCCATCCTTCAGAGGATGCATGCAGGGTGGCAGGGAGGTGCCCTGGGAACCTGATCTGGCATGAGGAGGTAGAGGGGAAAATCCCTCCCAGCCCTGTCTGGGGCCTGAAGACCCTGGATGAGGCCGGTGGGCTCTGAGCCAGGCTGGCACTTTGGGTGGGTGCAGACCCCAGGGCCTTGGCTAATGCTGTTACCCTGCCCCCCCCCCCCCAGGGCCATGGGAAAGAGATCCAGCTTTGCTGGGCTCCACCCCAGCACTCTGGAGCTTGCCCTTCTGCTTCCCAGAGGACCTCTGCACCCTCCTCCCCTGCTTTAGGGGAGAGAGACAGGACTGGGGGAGGGCAGGGGAGGGGCCACCCCCTTTGGAGATGATCCCCCCCCCCAGCAGCCCTTGTGGCAGCAAGTAAAGTGAGGCCGTCAGGGTGGGGACGGTTGGCTCACAGCAAGCCCCGCCCACAAGCTGGGGTATGCACGCATGCGTGTGCACGCGCCCACACACATTTAGTTTGGCATCCTACATGTCCCCAGCAAGTGGCTCAGGACAGCGATGTCACCTGTCACGGTCCCCTCCAGCAGCCAGGGCCCCCAGGCCCCTGCGCGGAGTGGAACTGAGGGGGGGAGGGGGGGTCGAGGGTGTGCGTCAGGGCCGGGAGCCCAGGCCCACACCTGCGAGGAGGCAGGAGTCTCCACTGTCCTGAGCACAGACCACTCACTTCCCCTGCAGCGCGGCCCTCGGCAGCCCTGCCCGGCACTGGGGACTGGTGGTGCTCACCGGAAGATGCGTGGATTTAGCACCAGGGCAGTCCATTAATGGAAAAGTATGAGCTCTAGCAGGGAGCCGGCTTCTCACCTCTGTCATCCTAACGCCTCAGGAGGCTGAGATCTGAGGATCACAGTTCAAAGCCAGCCCAGGCAGGAAAATCTTATCTCCAATGAACCACCAGAAAACCAGAAGTGGCGCTGTGGTTCAAGTGGTAGAGCGCTCGCCTTGAGCTGAAGAGCTGAGGGACAGCGCCCAGGCCCAGAGTTCAAGCCCCACAACTGACAAAAAGAAAAAGAAAAAAAAGCCTTGAGCAAAAGAGCTTAGAGACAGAGCCCAGGCCCTGAGTTCAAGCCCTCCAACAGACCAAAAAAAAAAAAAAAGAAAAAGGAAATATAATTCTCTGTGATTTCCTGTGATTTTTGGAGGTCGATGAGGATGGCTGTGACCTGGGTTTGTTCTGCACATTCTTATCCTGGTCTGTGGAACACTAGATTTTGTGTGTGTGTGTGTGAGTGTGTGTGTGTGTGTGTGTGCGCGCATGGACGCGTGCGCTGTGCGTATGCATGCCGTGTGTGTACGCAGGTGGGGACAGAGCTCAGGCCTTGCACGTGCCTGGCCAGCGCTCTACCACACAGCTATGGGTCCAAAGGAGGGAGCAGGGTGTGCTGTGTGGGAACTTTCTGGAATCAGGGCCCCGGCTTGCTTGCAGCTCCTTCCTCATCTCCAGATTCCTCAGCTGCTGACTGCGTTTGCATCCAGGCTGGGCGGGGGGCGGTGGGGGGGGTGCTGGGTCACGGGCAGGACTTTTATTTTGTCACGTGGATGAGCTCGGGGGAGGGGGGGGTCCGTGGTGGCCCCGTGGCCAGTTCTGTGGTGACCGCAGCCTTGTATCAGCCAGGGGTGCTGGGCCGCGCCCCGGGGCCACCAGCATGGACGCGGGGCTCCAGACGAGGCCTCGCCTCGTGGGGAAAGTGGGGGGCCATCGTGAACCCCACGTCCTGGGCTTCCTGAGGGACAGCAGTGGGTGGCGAGTTGGCTGGATGGCCCGGGCTGCGGGAGACGCGTGACACAGGGGCGTGGGGACCAGGCTGCTCGCTGAGGCTCAAGCAGACACCCCGGAGGGCCGGGGCGACCCCCTGAGCCGCAGCCGGGGCACCCCGGAGGGCCGGGCTCCCCAGCGTCCCGCCCGCAGGACCCTCCCGGAGGGCGGCAGGAGGCTGGCCGCCATGAGTCGCGGTGGCTCATGGTGACTCGCGTGTCCAAGATGCTCCGGGCGTCTCCCTGACATACGTGTCCCCCCGCAGGACCAGCTGAAGCAATGCTTCTCCCGGCGGAGCCCCGAGGCCAAGGACACGGACACCCTGGTGCAGGCCGGGGGCGGCCAGGACAGCGTGTGGGCCGAGCCGCGTGCCCGTGGGGACAGGTAGGGCGGGGCGCGGCGTGGAGGGTGCGGGCCACGCCCGGGCACCCCGCACGGCGGGGACTGTGCCTCACAAGCCTCCTGTCACGGAAAGAGAATGTTGCAAGCACAGAAGAACAAAATGAAGTGTGATGTGGGGAGGGAGACGGATCCATGGAGGCAGGTTGGGGCGTTCTAGGGCCCATGGGGGTCGGAAGGCAAAGGTCCCAGGGTCCCAGATTTCCTGAAAGGTTGACAAAAACGTTCCAGCAAATCAGTGGCGGCAAGTGTGACGTTCAGTGTCCACTACGTAAACACACTCGGTGGTTTTTTTTTTTTTTCTTTTCTTTTTTGATAGCCATGGTTTGAACTCTGGGCCTGGGCGCTGTCCCTCAGCTCCTCAGCTCAAGGCGAGCGCTCTACCACTTGAGCCACAGCACCACTTCTGGTTTTCTGAGTGGTTTATTGGAGATAGAGTCTCATGGACTTTCCTGCCCGGGTTGGCTTTGAACCGCGATCCTCAGATCTCAGCCTCCTGAGTAGCTAGGATGACAGGCCTGAGCCACCAGCATACGGCTTGCTGTGTAAATTTTATTAGTAGAAGACTTAGAGAGAAAATGAGTCATTTGTGATCCCTGCACACAGATACACCTTTAGGCAATGATTTTGTCCTCTGTAGATGATGTTCCCTGTATTCCTGTGTGTGTGTGTGTGTGTGTGTGTGTGTGTGTGTGTGTGTCTACCAATGCTAGGACATATTATACATAAGACACTTCTGTTTTTTCCCTCCTTCCTTCCTTCGTTCCTTCCTTCCTTCCTTTCTTTCTTTCTTTTTTTCTTTCTTTCTTTCTTCTTTAACAATGTTAAGAATATTTATTATCTTACCACAAAAGCATTCAACCAAAAGAATAATGCTAATAGAAATTTGAATAAAACATTTAGAAGAATTTTAAAACACAGGGCAGAAAATAGCATTAGTATGTTTTGGCATAATTGCAAACATTTGAACACTTTCACATTCTCTTTGGAACCAGGTTAACTATTAAATAAAGATTACAGATGAAGAGTAATACAACCTAAAAAAAAATCCTTGAGTTACATGGCTGAGAATTAAAACAGCTCGAATACATTTTGCTTCACAAGTTAAGGTTCTTTATTATGAACCATTATAGCTGTAAGTAGAAATTACTTGCTTCCTGTATTCGAGCATTGACCAAGATCATTTCTACAGAAACGGGCTCACTTGTCCTTTGAGAACTGTTAAACTTTTAGGCTTCCAATAGCTCGTGCCCATCAGAAGCCGAGAGGAAAATTAAATCTAAGCAAGTAATTTACCTATTTAGGTTTTCAACCCAATCCCTCTATTCCTGATACAGAGTTCTTACGTAGGCACAGGTCTGTAGCTATACGATTGAATTTCTAGTGTATAGTAAGACATGGTCAGGAACGAGTAAAATATTCCAGATTCACTTATGTAGAACAGAATTTTGTCCTTCAACGTTTTAATCTTGTTGCGGATCCAATTGCCCAAATGTACACTTGCTTGAAATTTTAAGTTCTGTTCTGCACTATTCCATTCATTTCTGTCAAATGAGAATGTTGGCCTGCTACGTTAGGAGATTGTCGCTGGTCACTGTGGTCGGTAACAGAACCGGATGCCCCAGTGGGTGAGGGGGCTCATTGAGAGACTTTCTTCGTCTTTCTTTCTTCCTTCCTTCCTTCCCTTGCTAGGCAGGCACTCTACCATTTGAGTCACACCCCCAGCCCTTTCCTTCTTGAGGTTATTTTTCAGATAGGGTCTTCCACTTTTTTGACCAGGCTGGCCTTGAATGAATAGCCTTTACATCTCTGCCTCCCTGTTGTATCTGGGATTGCAGGCGAGTGTGTACTGTGTGGGGCACAGCCATTTCCTGGCTAGTCTTGAACCATGATTGTCCTGATCTCTGCCTCCTGAATAGCTGGGATTGCAGGTGTAAGCCACCATAGCTGGCAGGGTCTCGCTACGCAGCCCAGGCTGGTCTCATACTTGCAGTCTTCCTGCTTTTACCTCCCGAGGGCTTGGATTACAGGCACGCGTTGCTGGACACACCTCTTATTTCTTTATAAGCCGTGTCTGAACCATCTCTAAGGCACGTGTGTTGTGGGGCTTTGCGTGCCGGCCTGGCTAGGAGAAAATACCTTGGCTGCAGGTTCTGGAGCCTTAATTGGATTCAGAGCCTGGCAGGTGCGAATCTGCCCCGCCCCAGCTGGCGCGAGCCCCGGGAAGGGTGAGCCATGGTTTTCCGGTAATGTTTCCCATCCCCAGGGACAACAAGCCATGCTCACAAACCAGCCATCACGAGTCAGTTACGCGTGCGAACCTTTGCGCCCTGTCTGGCGGAAGAGGAGGCCGGCACGCAGTAGGGAGTTTGTATCCCTGAGGAGACCCGGCTCTGGGCTCTGCCCATCCGCTGAGTGAGGCAGGGCCCAGCAATTAGCTCCGCACCACTGTGACGGGGAGGAACGCGGCCTGGGTTCTCCCGGTGGCCGGCGCCCCCTGCTGTACCCCAGCGGTACTGCAGCATCACCAGTCAGGCATCACCCGTGGTGGTTTGTCTCAATCCCGCCCAGCTGTCCCCTGTCATGGACTCCTCCTCCCTGAGTGGCCGAGGCATGACAAGCACCAGGAGGCCAGGGTTGATGATTCAGGCCCATGTCCTGGCTTAGAAGCTCCGCTGTGCTCCTGTGTGTGTGGTGGAGATGTGCCTAGCTGGGCTTGTTGATGCATTTCCCACATGGTCCCGCTGTAAACCCAGCTCCTGGGAAGACAGACAGAGATGGGGGGGGGGGATCACAGTCCAAGATCTCGAGACCCCCATGTTAGCAAACAGCCCGGGTGAGGTGGTGCACACTTGCAGGCCCCACTATGAGAGGGCAGTAGGAAGGAGGGGGATTGTGACTCGAGGCCAGCAGTTACTTTGCATGGTCAGATTGCAGGGCTCCAGGGTTTGATGTAATCCTTGTAGGGTAGTGGGGAGGCTCGGCCATGCCTGTCAGCCCCACGGCTGCACACGGAGCTGCTCGGCCGGCCGGCCCTCCCTCATCCCAGACACGAGCGAATTAGGGGGAGCTGTGCAGAAGTTCCCCAGCCCCCATCTTCCTGTCACCCCAGCTACTCAGGAGGCTGAGATCTGAGGACCAAGCCAGGCAAGAAAGTCTGTGAGACTCTGATCTCCAGCAAAAAGCCAGAAGTGGAGCTGTGGCTCAAGTGGTAAAGTGCTAGCCTTGAGTGAAAAAGCTCAGGGACAACGCTTAGGCCCTGAGTTCAAGCCCCAGGACTGGAACACACATGCACACATGTACACACACACACACACACACACACACACACACAGACCCATCTACGCAGAGTATTGAGGAATGAGTAAAATGCATTCGTTTTAATCTTCACAAGTTTTCATGCCATTATTGTTCATTTTTATTCAGTCCTGGGACTTGAACTCAGGGCCTGGGCGTTGTCCCTGAGCTGCTTTTGCTCAGGGCTAGCAGCACTCTACCACTTGGGCCACAGCGCCACTTCCTGCCTTTTCTGTGTATGTGGTGCTGAGGACTGGAACCCAGGGCTTTGTGCATGCCAAGCAAGCGCTCTACCACTGAATCACCTTCCAGGTCTGCGGGTTCTCAGGAAGCTGTTAATAGGACATTTTACATTCTTTTTTTGCTCCCAGACTGTGGGAGCTCCAGCATCTGCTT